ACTTAGATCACAAAGATGAATGTTCGGGGAGGAAAATGAGCACACAGAGAATTTCGCTGAGAGCATACGGGAAGGTTTTCAGGGCCGAGGAGTTGAAAAGGAGTCCTAACGAAGCCTTAAGGGAAGCAGGGAGTTAGAGAAAACCTAATTTATCCTACAAAGTAGAAAATCAGCTTGTGGATGTCTTCCCAGAGTCCCTGTCGAGATCTGATTTTCAGTGGCTCTGAAACCACAAGTCACTGTGGGGAGAATCGATGTCTTTGCACTACTGTTCCATCACGTAATCTGCCTTCTTCCATGACTTTTGATAAAGTTGTACAAGATTCTCAGGGATGATGAGAGCCACTGACCCGTCACCGTGCCTGTTCACGCCGGCCACTTCACTAAAGCACTCGCCACGAACTGCTCCACGGCTGTGAGAGCGCCGCCTGCTTCCCAACACTCTTCTTAGCCCACGGGACCTGCCCAGGCCTGCGGCCGTCAGACGGGTTGACTCAGCGCGGTCGGGCCCGGGGCTCCTGGGCCTGCGAGTGAGCTTCCTTGCCCACAGTCCAGGGACCACTACAAAAGACTGGGAGAATGAGAAGCTGAGAAATTCTGCTTGAGGGCACTGGTGGTCATGGCTCCAACCTTATTTATTTTGACTTGCTGGCTCGAACTCCTTCCTGTCTGTTTTGTCCATTTAGGATAATTGAATGTGAGGGGAGGCTCACGCTGACCACATCTGTATTTTGAAGCTGAGTCAGAACACCTTACCAAATAGTTCCATGTGGTATTCCAGCTCATGGCCTAGGTAAAAATAAAGGAAGCTGTCATCATACTCTGAAAAGCGCTTTTTATAGTGGAGCTTAATTGATGTTCTCTCTCAACAAAGCTCATCTGAATCATGGTTGAGTCAAGACACCATATGGCAACCTTTACGGAGCTGACGACTCGTGTGGGTTTCTTTGGGTTTTTCGTTTTGTTTCATTTTTTGTTTTTGTTTTTGGTGCAGCCCAAGATCCCTGCTGGCCGGAGGCTCAGTAATGTTTGGGGAAAACCTATGTGAGTATGTGTATACACAGGCAGATAGGTTTATTTGGAGTTCTGTAAGTGTGGTGACCTCTGAGGTGCTCATTCTATTTCCTTTCTTTGTGAAAGTTAGTCAACATGTTTATACAAGCAATTAGGAATACCAAGACCTTTTCTACCTCCTGAAATCATAGTCATCTGTCGTCTTTGGTATTTTTCCTATACCTGCCTTACTTGAGTCTTTCCTCTGGTCTCTCTCTGTATCTGATGACTCAGGCAAATGAACTATGCAAGGAGATGATAAGAATACCATCAAGTGCTCCCTGTGTGCTTGGCCTAAAAGCAGGTGCTGAGAACACAGAGGTAAGTAAGAAATCTGCCCTCAGGGCCTGGGAGGTGACTAAGTGGCTGAAACACTGCAGGACAGATTTTTCAAAGAGGGAAGCATCGAGTGCCAAAGGGAACAGAGGGCAGGAGGTGCCTCAAAGATCAGGACCGGCTTTCATTAGGAGGTGAGACAGTAATTAGATCTGGAAGGAAAATGAGATGTGTGTATGCACAAGTGAAAGGCACACGGCATCCATATTTATAAGCTCAATATGACAGCAATTGAGCTATTCCTACAGTGGGCGCCAAACACAGCTATCCACGCTGCACCTGCAGCGGCGGTGCTCAACACCGGCACGTGTGAAGTGGCCAAATAACTAACTGAAAGGTCAGTAAGCCAAAGTAAAAGATTTTCAGTAACCAGAACAGTCATTACCAACCAGCTCTCGGTGCCAGGAAGTGATTTTCTCGTTACAGCCACTGGCTCCTCACTGCTGTCCTCCCTGCAATGGCATCGAGCCATCAAAATGGACCAGTAGCTGTGTTAGAAAATACCGGCAAAGAAGACAGTGAAGAGCCAAAAATTAAGTCCTCCATTAAGAGCAACCCCGGGCTGCACATAGCCCCAGTCCCAGTCCCAGGAAAAGCCTCAGACTGTTCAAGGCTAAAGCCATCCTCGGACCGCCCTCAGATCAGCTAATCAAAAAGTAAAAAGAAACTCTCCTATGGTCTGAGTCAAGGCTGGGAACTGCAGATACAAACTAGCCAATTTCTCACCACTTGTCTGAACCCCACGTGCGCCCTTTGAACTTACTTCACAATTGGTCATTTTCAAAGGATTCTCAAAAGTCATGATTGGGTCCCACCAAAAGGAATGAACACCTCACAGATAGTGAATGGTCAAAGCTGTAATTATAATTGGTGATTATGTGATGATGCTACATGTACTGTAACACCCTCATCCCTTACTCCTTAAAAACCCTGTTGGCTATCCTTATTTGCTTCACCTTGCTGCCATGACACCGGTAGGCTGGTGAGCCCCTGCTCGAGCTTGTAATAAAGACCCTTTTGTATTTGCATCGGTGCCGGCTCCTTGGAGGTCTCTGGGACTCGAGATTCAGGCACAACAACAGTCTCTCCCACAAGGTCCCATACAGGGAGAAAGACCTATAACAGCTATTTCATTAAGAAATGAAAAATGTTGTGAAGGAGCTCATGCCGGAAGCCTCTCTCCTCCAGTCCAAACAATGTAACCTCAATTATTTTTTATATAAATACACAGCTGACTTTAAAACAAGACACCTATCTCCATAACCCAAAGACTGAATGGAAACACGCAGCAACGATGAGGTCTAAAACCAAGGGGTGAAACGTGTTCGAGGATGAGCCAAAAGCCCACCTGACACAGGAACCAAACCCCCCCCCCCCCGTCGTGTTGCGTGGCAACGAGAGCCCCCACGTGAAACTCCGTGCCGGACATCCTGCCGTGTCTGAGATGGAAGCGTGCAGTGTGAATCACCGACAGCCCAAGGCAATCGAAATGTCCACCAGTAAGAAAAAAGGAGGTAAATTCTGTACTCTTGTGATGGTACTTCACAACAGCGGGCAGTTGTGACCCGCCCTCCATGCCTGAAAGCTGGCAGCACTTACCGACTCAAAAATTTAAAAAAAGGATGAAATGCAAACTAGAGCATACAGTGTATCGTTCGTGCAGTAAAGAGGGAAGACGTGTTGGAAAGTGAAACAAAGAAACCACCCCCAACTCCCCAGCACGTTCCTGCCTGGTGGTGGTCACGCCCTCACATGTGATCCCCTCTCCCCCCGGGGCCATTACAACACGCAGTAGAAACGTTGGTTATTTCCAAGATTATAAAGTCGCTTCAACGTCCACCTTGAGCACACGCTCTCAGCTACCCGGCACGGAACATGCCAGCCGCCAGGGCGTGCGCAGCCCTAGGGAGTCCACGCGGCAAGGACCCCAAGCGTCCTGCCCAAAGCCTTTTGTGAGCTTCGATCGGGCCTCCAGCCCATCAGGCCCTCGGGGGCTGGCTGACCGGGTGGACAGCCTGACCCCCAGCTCACGAAAGACTGAGTCAGATCCACCCAGCCAAGCAACTCCTGACCCTCGCAAACCGTGTGAAGTAATAAATGTGTGTGGCTTTCAGCCGCTAATTTGTGGGGCAATTTGTTCTCATCCAGAGGATATTAACAGTATCGGTAACGCTCTGGACTTGGCGAGAACACGACAAAATTTTAACATTTGTTGACTTTGCAAGTCAATTACATGGGCGCTTGTTAGATCATCTGTTATGCCACCTACCATAAAGGTTTTTACGTTATTATGTATTTGTGGTTTTGATTTGTCAAGAGTTTAAAAACAAGCAAACCAACAAAAACACAAGGATGAAAACTAATAAAAAGCTTCAATTTCCTTCTCCAAAGAGCACACCAGTACGGCTGTTCTAAACGCTGGCTCCTACAGCAGCCACGCCATGCAAACACCTCGAAACTCCTCTGCCTAAGTCACAACACTGTTATTTTCAAGTATTTACTTTTTGTATTGGAAATTCTTATAGCTGCTTAAAATCGCTGACTATTGCTAACATACCTTCCTACCAAGGAATGGAAATTTGGGCATGAAATCACCACCCACATCTTGGATCTGAAAACCCATTTTTCTTCCACGGTGCCTCGTCCTTACGCCTACTTGGAGCTCCAAAGTTTCAGAGGCAGTTCCAAAAGCCTATTAAAACAACCTGATCATGGGACTGCGATGAATTTAAAGCTTTTCCAAGCACGATTCCGAATTACACAAAATTCTCAGGAGATACCACACGGTTCTCTTCACTTTTCGCTCTTGACTCTGACCAGAGCCTGCAATGGTAATAACGGTGTTGGCTGGGCACCAGCCATGTTCCAGGCACCGTTCTGAACTCTCTACGTACAGCACACTCTAACACCTACATCCACCCTACAAGGGAGGCGTTATTATTCTACCCATTTTCTTCTGGGGGCTGGTGAGGAGACCGGTAGTAACTTACACTTTTGCATACAGTGAAGCACACAGATCATAAATTTATTTTAACGAGCTGTGACAAATGCATGACCCCGGGGAACCAGTACCCACACCTAAATCTAGCACATTTCCTTTGCTCCAGAGAATTCCTTTGCTCCTCCTGTTCCTTTCTGGTCCATCCGCAACCTCTTCTGACAAACACTGTTCAGATCTGTGCCGTGCCAATTGTAGAACTTCACAAAAATAAACTATACAGTAACATACTTTGTGCCTGGCTTCTTTCACTCAGCATGCCACTGAGATCCACTCACAGTGCTGTGTGTATCGGTGGTTTATTCATTCAAATTATCAAGCAGTTTTAGCCATTCTCCCACTGGTGGACATCTGAGGCATCTGCAGAGTTTGGCTATTATCAATAAAGCTTCTATAAGGATTTTTTTTTTTACAAGTCTTTCATGAACAGATGTTCTCGAATCTCTTAGGTAAACTCCTATACTCATACCTTAAACTTTACAGAAAACCGCCAAAATGTGTCCCCAAGCAGGTGCAATCTGTGAGAGTCCAGTTGCCCCACATCCTCGCCAAAATTTGATGCTGTCGGTCATTTTCATTTTAGCCATTCTAATGGGTATGCAGACATATCTCATTATGGTTTTGTTTATAAAAGCTTTATTGAGATATAATTAACATGGCATACATCTTGACGCATTTTTGTGTATTACACTATTATTTTTTTTTATTGTGGTAGAGTATGCAGTGCCCCCTCCCCCTTTATCCACAAGTTCACTTTCAACAGTTTCAGTGACCGCAGTCAACCTCGGTCCAGAGGCAGGTGCCTGCTTTCCGACACACCCTCAGCAGGTCAGCAGCAGCCTAACACGTCACACTGCCTGTGTCATACACGTCCCTTCACGTCATCACGCGGGCGTTGTATCCTCTCTCATCATCACAAGCAGTGTGAGTACAGCACAGTAAGATCTTCTGAGAGAGAGAGAGAGAGAGAGAGAGAGAGAGAGTGAGCCCACATTCACAGAACGTTTATTACAAGGGGGCTAATACTGTTCTATTTTGCTATTAGTTTTTGCCGTTAAGCTCTTACTATGCCTAATCTCTAAATTAAATGTTACAGTGTAGTACGAATAGGAACAAACACAGCACATACAGGGTTCAGGGTATCTACAGTTTCAGGAATCCACCAAGGGACTATGTAACATAAATTTTGCCATTTGGAGCATTTTTAAATATAAAATTCAGTGGCCTGAATTATATTCAGTGTTGTGCAACGACCACCATTAATTCCAAACTTTTGGGTACCCCAGATAGAAACTCTAGAACCATTAAGCAGTAACTCCCCCCATCCACCCAGCCTGCTGGTAGCCTCTAACATGCTTTGTCTCCCATGTGCCTAATTCCAAGTACTTCACAGAAGTGGAATCATACAGTGTTTGTCCTTTCACGTCTGGCTTCCTCCACTTATCATGCTTCCAAGGTTCATCCACGTGGCAGCACGTATCAGCACTTCATTCCCTCCCACGCCTACCTAATGTTGCAACGGACGGATAGACCACCTTTTGTTACCCATTCATCTGCGGACAGACACATGGTCATTTCCCCCTTTTGGCTACTGTGAGTCGTGCTACACTGAACGCTGGCTAGATACCTGAGTATCTCCTGGGAGCCCCAGCTTTCAGTTCTCTGTGACTTGTGTCTGTGAGTGGGACCCCAGGGTCGTATTCGCTCATCAAGGAGCCACCAAACTGTTAGCCCGAGCAGCCACACCATGTGGCCCTCCCACTCACAATACCCAAGTGCTCCAATTTCTCCACACCCTCCCCACACATACTTTCCTTCCTCTGGTGTTTGTTACCGCCGTCCCAAAGATGGAAAGTAGGATCTTGGTTTAATTCGCATTTCCATAATGGCTAAAGACGCGGAGTACTTTATCATGTTTATTGGCCACTGATGTATCTTCTCTTCTGAAGGATAGAACTTTTTCATCCAATTTGTTAATTGGGTTCCTCTTGTTACTACTGGGTTGTAGGAGCACTGTGTATATTCTGAAACGAGTCCTGTCAGACATCTGTATCCCAAGTACTTTCTCTCAGTGTATGGCTTGCCTTTTCATTTTCTCAATGGCATCTTTTGAGACGTAGAAGTTTTTAATTTTGATAAAGTCCATTTTTTCTTGCCTGGTTAGTGTTATCTGTGTGCTAGATAAGAACGGTCTGCCTACATTCAAGCTCACAAAGATGTTCTTCTGTGTTTTCTTCTCAGCACTTTATAGTTTGAGCTTTCATGTGGTCTAACCCATGATGAAATATTTCTTGGTGGATGGTGCAATGTGTGGGCCAGAGTTCATTTTATTCCAATTAGATATCAAGTAATTCCACCATCGTTATTAAAATATTTTTAGACTGATTCTGGTTTTGAGTTCACAAATATTCTTTAAAGGAAACACATCTGGAAATGGCCTCAATTTTTCAAACACAACATTCAGCACTCAATAAAAGGCAGGACCAAATTACTGAACACAAGAAAAAGTGACAATAGGGAGTCACCAAAAAAAAAAAAAAAAAGGTAAGTTGTCAGGCACATTCTTTCAAATAACTATAATTAATATGTTCAACAAAGTGAGTGACAAAATGAATCTTTTAAGAAACTCAAAGAGAAATTCTGCAATAACTCAAAAATACAGTATCTGAAACTAAGAGCACAGCAAGCAGATAACAACAGACTAGACAGCAGAAGAGAGGATAAGAAAACTAGAAGGCAGATTAATAGAACATTTTCAAACAGAAGCTCTGAGAGAAGGGGCAATATGGAAAGGAGCCGGATACACATAAAATATAGTGAAAGGTTTAACTTGCGTAAGTGGAGTCCTAGAAGGAAAGGTAAGGATGGAGAAGAAGCAACATTTGGAGAAATATCGGCTAACATATTGATGAAAAACATCCAATTCAAGAAGCATTATCCTAGGGCGCCCAGGTGGCTCAGTCTGTTAAGTATCTGACTTCAGCTCAGGTCAGATCTCACGGTTGGTGGGTCTGAGCCCCACATCGGGCTCTGTGCCAACAGCTCAGAGCCAGGAGACTGTTTCGGATTCTGTGTCTCCCTCTCTCTCTGCCCCTCCCCCACTCATGCTCTGTCTTTCTCTATCTCAAAAATAAATAAACTATAAAGAAACCTTTAAAAAAAAAAAAAAAAAAGAGGCATTATCCAAACAGAATAATCCGAACAGAAGTCTAACATCTCTACCCTCATGGGCCTTCTATTGGAAAGAGGTAGAGAATCAGTAAGAAACCACTACAAATACCACCTACTATGTTAGAATAAGTGCTTTCTTAGAAAAAGGAAACACAGTTTGTTTGGTAAAGGGATTCAGAAGAAATCAGCGGCACTAATATATTAAATAGGATGTATGAAACCTGGAAGAAAGTAAACAAAAACAATTTTGACTAAACACAGATTAAAAAGGAAAAATAAGACACACTGACAAACCAAACTAAAAAATATATACGCATACATATGTATACACATATACATATATATTTTTTACATGGAACTGGAAGAAAAGACCAAGCATGCGCAATGAGTAACAGGCGAAGCAAGCAGCAGTTCCAAAAAAAAAAAAACTTGTTAAGCACCTATATTCATCAGACTCCATGTTAGCTGCGAGGGGCACAGGGAATGTGATGTGCTCACCTCGGTCAAGAAGCATATCAAATGGAAGAACAATGAGGCATGAGCATAAGCAGAAGAATTTACAGAAAATAGTATCCAAATGTTACATTACTTCAGGAATACTCAAAACCCAGAACGTAATCTTCTCTATAGGAAAAAATATGGAGCAGCCATATCCAACAGAACTTTCAACAATGATGGAAATATTCCACATCTATAGTGCCCAATAGCGCAGCCGAATACTTAAAATGTAGCCAGTGCAAGGAACAAAATTACTCATTTTACTTAGGTCTAATTAATTTAAACAGCCACACACAGCTAATGGCTACTTAATGGACAGTGGAGGTCTAGTAGAGGACAACAAATTTCACTTGAGTCCACATGTTAACAGGGAGGTCTGGCTACATCATAAAGAGAAATGATGTACAGATATTCCATGAAGGTAACCAAAGGGTTGGAAAACCTCCAGCAAAAACCCAAAAACAGAATTTTTTTTTTTTTTTACAAATAGTTTATTGTCAAATTAGTTTCCACATAACACCCAGTGCTCATCCCCACAAGTGCCCTCCTCCATGCCCCTCCCCCCTCCCCCCACATCCATCAGTTCTCAGTTTTTGTCAGCATTCAAGAGTCTCTCATGGTTTGCCTCTCTCCCTTTCCCCCACCATTTCCCCCCTTCTTC